CTAAACAAAAATTATAAACTGAATAACCATAAGGTTAATTTAAATTAAATGTTACTTAAAAAGGATATTTCTTATTAAGTTTCTAAACTTAATGCATGCATAACATGTTTCATACATTTCATGAAATGCAAATTTATTTTTATATTTCAGCATTTTTCATGTGCGCATTTCTTATGCATATATAGCCATTTAGACCCTAAAGTGATTTCAGAACAAAGATTGGATTTATAACTATGAATCTTAATTTTCCCCTCTGGCTTTCAGATATTTTCTTTGCTAGGTCATTTTCTTCTGTGGCATATTAGTACATCTTATATTAAATACTGTAATGTTCTCTACTGCTATAATGACAAGAATAAATGCCAGTATTTGTTTTGTGCTATTCCGGCTACCTGTTCAGATCATGTTCTCATCTGTTTTCCTAGAAAAGTGTACACTAAAAGACATCCGCTTCTCTCATACAAGTGGCCTTTTCCTGGGCTGAGGATATAATAGTGATTCAAAGCAATTATATTTGGGCATTGTTCTTCAATGGTGAAGCGAAGAGAGCAGCATAGAGTGGTTCAGAGAATTAGAATTGGTTTTTATATCTTTTTCTTTTTTTGAGGGATCCTTGATGCTTTCTGAGTTTGATTGTTTTTTCTCAAATATTTAATTACGCAAATTAGGTAACATCATCAGTACAAGTAGGGAGTGGGTTTTGCTCTTATGATTTATATTTTGCCCTGTTGTCAGTGCAGTCTTCTTGGTTGTTCTTTGATTGGGCTACTTACTATTAGCTTGTTGACAGTTCCTTGATTGGAATATCATTTATTGCTTGATTGTTGGTCTGATGTTAATATTTTTTTTGTATATATGCACAAACTGGTATGTTCATCTGTAAATTATTAGTGGGAAACTACTTCCTTAAATGGAGGCATCAAAAAAACTTCCTCAAGAATACTGAATTTTTCCTGTTAAAGTAACAGGAGAATTGTGAACAATGTATACGTTTCTGAAAGGTGTGTCATAGTATGCAAGAATTTGTTTTTAAAAACAAACACTTTCTAAAATGGATTATCGGTATGCTTTATGCTCCTAAGTTGCTATAAAAATGTTAAGAATTGTTGAAAAGATATGAGTTTTTTTTTTCATTATACCAGGTAGCATTACTAATTATGACATGGATTCTCATACCATGTTTCCATAGTAGCAATTCATAGCGATGGCAGGTTGTTTACCATATTTATGCTCTGCTTCTTTTTCTTTTGAGGTTGTACTTTACACATTGTATCTGAGCTAATACTGCAATTTCTGCAAGTACTCTTAGCAACTTTTTAAAATAGCAATAGCATGTAGACCTGTATATCACTTCACTTTCTAAATGCATATATATATAAACATACATACATACATGCCCGCGCGTGCACACACACACACACGTCAGAAAATATATATACATACATACATACATACATACACAAACCCCCAACCAATCAGAACACACCTCCACCCAATCAGAACA